CAATTAAATTTCTGGCGGGAAAATTACTCATTGAACAGTTGGGTTATTTTCAAAAAACACCGCTAATCGGAAATAGTTTATTTCTTTTTATGCAAAATTTACGATGATTTTCAGCATTAAGCACACAGAGTAGATGTAAAGAAATAACCGTTCATGCAGTTAACTCAATTCAAGTTTTGTACAAAAACGCATGATCGCACCGGCTCGCCTGGTGTGTTTCAGCCTGGGTTTTAATATTTATTTTATTTACGTTACATAAATTTTTTTTTACATTACGTTACATAAATTTTACATTTTGTAACATTTATTTTACATGTTATTTTAATTTTACATTTTAATTACGTATTTTACATATTTACTGATTTCACATTTTACATGCACAGGACATGCTAGTATTCAGTAAAAATTTTTGCCTTTTTGGCTGCTTGATTACAGAGAGAGACGGATAATGGAAGTGTTGGAATTTTTAAACATTTTTTATGTTCCTGTACAGGGCACATCCGAAAGCAAAAGCTTACTTTACATTACAGACTTATATATTAACAGTAAACTTTATAAATTTAGAGTCCCCTACTGATGCCATATTATTCAAAAATGAAATTTTGCCTACGGTTGGTGTGAAATTTAATTATTCCTCAAAATTAAATTAAAATCATCAAGTCCAAAATTCAATTTAAACAAGTAGCTGACACCTATTCAGGAAGAGGAGCCAACCTTGTGATCGCGATACAATTTACTGATTTTATCATTCCGTTGTTGACTACACGGTTTTCTGCGTAATGCATTGATCGCTGCAAGCTTCACATCTCTCGGGATATGCTGATTATCGATACAGGCCAGTATGGACGGCAACGAGTGCTGTTCGTTGGCAATATTCCCAACAGATTTTAGAATAATAACAGTCTTCTGAAAGAATTCATCCCGTGTTTTATGAAGAGAATTCATTCATAAAGAGGTTACCGCAATCGAAAGCGCACTTACTTCGATTTCGTCGAATCGCTCTCCAACTCGACAGCCAGCTGGAAGCTTCGCCACGATGCTTTGTATGATGCGCTGCACCGATGGATTCCTTCCGCACTCCGGATGGCCATTACAGTAGGACTGGACCATTGATGAGACTGGTAGTAGGCCTAGAAAAAAAGAATTCCAAGCGTGCATGTAACTATTCGCAAAGTCACTGAGCAGTGCAGACAGTGAGATGAAAATAAAGAATGATACCGTGAAGTGGAACTCGATCAATGAATGAGGCCACCGAATCCACGATGCCATCTTCGGGAGCTGGTACTAGAGAGAGCGACGAATAGACAGATTCCGGTGCGGCTCCTGCGTTTATTAAGTTGCCTAGGTGCGCCAAGCATGACTGCGACGCGCAGGCGGCCAGAGCATCGGCGAATGCACCGCATCCTGGGCTGGAAACGGACACTATCTCCGTAGCAGATAATCCGCGGAGATGATTCACTAAGTCGGCGAAGTGAGAAGCAGCCTGGAATCGTTCAAAGAGAAAGAGCAAAACCTGCGAATTGAATCAAAGCCGCTTTGATGAAATGACTGTTCAGTGTGGGTGCAAAGACTGAACATGCAAAGTGAACTTACGTCAGGAGCAACGCGATCTTGCGCGCCGCACAGTTCGCCAATGATCTGTCTGGCATGCTGAGGAGAAGCATTCTTGCCGGAGATGTGATCTTGCGAAGAATGGTCGAAAACGATGGTTGTGTGTCGCTTGAAAGGCAATTGCTGTACGTGTGCGCGGGCAACGCCGGCGGCATTCATCGTTAGTTCGGCGTGAAGCGTGCCGAGCTCACGCTGCCCGAGCGCTGGCCAGCCCAGCCGGTAATCTTCCGTACAGCTCACCTGCAGATACTCTCCTCTCAAAATTCAAGTGAAAAATCCTAGCTCGTGCCTACAGGCCACAAGGCGGTAAAGAAGAAGCTTCTACAAAAAAATGAATATTGCCAATGGGAAGCAGACAAGAAAAACACAGGTGTGTTGTAGCATTAATAGCAGATACACAATAGCAATATCCCCGGGCTGTTTCTGAGATACAAGGGCCGGTGACGTAGCGAGTGGCATGCTGCGTCTGGATTTGAAGATACGAGTGGTTCAATTCTGTTCCAGTCTGCATTCATGTGCAAAAAAGGGCTTCGTCCATG